AAGCAGTGCTTGAACATTAGCATAATTCCACAGAAAGTGCATCAGATGCTTGTCATTCACAGAGCTCTGCCACTCCTTTATTTATTTGATTTTTTCACTAATTGGCGAATACTCTCATCTACAATTTGTGGGACAAGACACGTGATGTGCTGTCGTGTGATCAAGTGGATGTGTGTTAGGATGATCACTTATGGTCAGATCATGTTTTTTTTTAATACATAATAAAATTTTGTGTGACAGGTCAACACACATATTATTATTATTATTAACATCTGTGTGAGTCAGGGACAAGTTACAGTAGATCAGCAATTCCGTTTAAGTTTAAAGTTTTCACATTTGAGTCACACTATCGATATTTCATAATTGGATGCATTTCTCTGCAATTCGGCACTCTAGTAAAGTCACGTCATGTTTATATAGCACTTTTTTTTTACAAAAGATTGCTTAAAATCAAGCAGTTTTACCGTATTAAACATGAAAAACAGTGTCAGTGTCTCGTTTCTTCAGAAACTTAATTTTCTACTATAAAGCAGCTCTCCAGTGTGTTCTTGTTTTTACTTGCGAATGTCTGAGCTCGACGGACTCAGCAGAGGATATTAACCAGAAAAGATTTCAAAGTGAAAGAAGGCGGAGCCTCCACACACGCCTACCTATTACGTAATCGCCACGGACCAATGATAGAACAAAGGTGTTTACCAGCCGGAGCAAACTGTTTCAAACTCCAAACGAAGTTCGTTTTGGCCTGATTTTGTTTGGAATTGCATCACATAATTTCGTTCTTCGATTTCGACTTAAAAGTATATCGGGGTCTTAAATGTGGACAGAACTGTAATTTTTGGGTGAACTATCACTTTAAATACTGTGTTCGGCCTCATGCTATCTTTAACAAGAATGAAGTATTGAAGAATATTGCTTTATATGTTAGGATATAAAAAGAGCTGGCATGTGTTTATCTAGTAATTTCAGACACAACCATTACAGAATACAGAACAAAAGGCACACTCTCTCAGATGAATGTAAACATGAACATAAAATGTGGACCTTGTACACAAAAGCATTGGGTTTCATTGCGCGCACACACACACACAATCCTTACACATGAACTGGATACACACTTTTATACTGCAAGAAACTTATGCAGCACAGACTATTTTCTGTCTTTGGGGGGCGGTCAGAATGTGTGTGGATTTGGGTTAGAATGTCAGTGTTATGTAATGTAACAGTTAGGTCCCAATGCTCCTTACGGGGCAGTGGTCTTGGTTAGAGTAGCCTCTGCTGTGGATCTTTGTCCTTGCGCAAAGCTCTCACAAATATTTGCTTGCTTAAATAAAGTACCCTAACCCTCCCAAATGCATTGTCCTAAGTAATGAAACCATAAAGCTCTTTGATTATAGATTTAGAATCCAAGTTTGAGTCCTTTAGTGAATCTTTCCTCCAAAATCAATAAATAACACTCGGTGATCACAACTACTCTCACATCATTTGAAAGTAATTATTTCAATTCTTTGTTGTTGTCTGTATATTATTGATAATCTTCCAAAACCCCAAAACCGAGACAAATAGGACAGGGTTTTATTTTTTTCAAACAATTTGTGGGACAAGACACGCGATGTGCTGTCGTGTGATCAAGTGGATGTGTGTTAGGATGATCACTTATGGTCAGATCATGTTTTTTTTTTTATACATAATCAAATTTTGTGTGACAGGTCAACACACATATTATTATTATTAACATCTGTGTGAGTCAGGGACAAGTTACAGTAGATCAGCAATTCCTTTTAAGTTTAAAGTTTTCACATTTGAGTCACATTATCGATATTTCATAATTGGATGCATTTCGTTTTAAATCCAGAATCTGTGTTAGTGGGTCATCCTGTAAATAGGCTTGGTCGACTGAAAAAAAACCTCAGACAATTGCCAGTAATGTGTGTTATGTAAACAACGAAGGAATTCAAAATCCACTGAAAGGAATATTCATGGATATCTGTATGATACAAAATCTTAAACTGGATATGAGCTTATTCAGATTAAATATGAAAACCCGCAGGCTTGTCAGGTTGTTTGCGTTAGCATCCATAGCCCTGAGATCACGGCTTCTCTTACTGACACACATGCCAGATCATGTATTTGCCTGAGGGCTCAAACAGTCAGAGAAGAAATTGAAGTATTAACCCTTTTTTGAGCCATAGCTAAACACATGGGTGTTATTCACAATATGAAGCATGATTTTTAATAAAATATTCCTGGAAAGTCTAGAACCAACATAGATTGTCAGTTCAAAATTTAGTAGGATGAAGCAGGGCTGTTGGTTCAGATTAAGAAACCAGAATGCCATTTATCGCATTCAACACCCTGTTGAATTAATGTGAACTCTTTCAATGTGATAAGTCGAGCGTGAACACTGGATTGTGGTCAGAACCGCCGAATCAGACACGCTGCATGCTGAAAATCTGTGAGACTTTCGTTTACTATAACAAACCTGTCCAAGAACATTTTTGTCTTTTTCCCCTTAATGGTGTTCAGGTATTCTTCCAGCTGTAAAGTTGAGATTTACTCAGATACGGTGTTCTCTAGAAAAAGGATGGAAGCATGTGGATCATTTCTGCACCTTCCTCATATTTCTAACAGTCAAAAATAAATGTAATAAAATGTTTGCGTTATGGGGCACGGAAGTTGTGTCGCAGAACTATAATGAGAACCACATTATTAAGCAAGTCACAGTTCTCACATAATATGGGGAGGAAGAATCTTGAAGATAAAATGCATGAAATGGTGCAATGTCTTGTAAAAAGGCATAAAAATAACTAATATTTTGCAAAAACTGAATAGAGATCGTCAAACTGTCAAAAGATTTCTTAGTGATTTAGAGCACAGAAGAACTCAGTCAGATAAAGGCTTAATAAAGGAAGTTTCTGTCAAACAAATTAATCGTATTAATAGAGCAACTATAAAAAAGCCACTGTTTAGCAGCAAATAGGTATGAACATTTACATTTGGTTTAGAAATACATGAAGACTCATTTTAATTCAGTGATGAATGCTGTGCTGCAATGGATGGTCTTCTTGGTGGATGGTTTTCTGCATAGTTGGTGAATGGCCACCCTGTTCCAACAAGACTGCGACGTCAGCAAAGAGCTTGCAGGTGATTATTTGGGCTGGAATATTGAGAAATGAGATGGATGGCCTCTTTAAGGTCTCTGAGAGTGTCAAAATGACTTCTGTAAGATATGCAGAGTAAATAACGAACCATTTTATGCTATTTTACAGGATTGTGGCTTCTGATAAAACGATTTTCATGCAGGATATCGAACTATTCCATGCTGCAAAAAACACCACGGCAATAAAACTGTTTAAAATGGTATTTCTACGCCCAGTTTAAAGGTTTCTTTTTGTGAGATTTGGTTAGGGGTGGCTGAAATGCAACTTTATGCACAACTGCCAGCCTGGAGAGGTTCTTGGGACTCCAGAGACACCAGCGACTTCAAATACCCGTTTGCTGCTGAACAGTGGGGTTTTTATAACTGCCGTATATTGCAAATTATTTTTAATTTGTTTCCTATCCTAAGCCTTTATCTGACCAAGTTCTTTTGTGCACTCAATCACTCACAAATCTTTTGACAGATAATCTCCATTCAGTTTTCATACAATATTAGTTTTTATCATGCCTTTTGCAAGACATTGCACCATTTCATGCTTTTCATCTTCAGAAAGATCTTTCTTTCTTTTCTTAAGAACTGACTTGCTTAATAATGTGGAACAAGGTTTTCCATTTACCTAAGAAGACTTATTTAACTTATGTTGAATCTGTACTTCGCGACCGCTATATAAATGTGTGAATGTAATCCGGACATATGCCTATTCGCCATGTTGTCATTATCATGTGTGTTGTTGTGTCGCTTCACTGCCATTCACAAATCCTCCCCCGTGGCCTCATGGGATAGTAAAGTGTTCATCATATGCACACTTCAGAATCTCGACAGAAGTAATTCGGGTACTTTTTGGCTACTCTGTTATATAAGTACTGTTCAGACATACGTCTTTTGTCAGATACTGTTTTTCACCTACTCTATAGGGAAGTATGTGATTTCGGATGCAGCCTAAGTGAAGGAAAAGTCAATAGCATACTTGTGGAACTAAGCAGAACTAATCTTAGACTGCTCCCTGGTGGTTATAATGCAAAATGGTTCAATTGCACAATCGTTAACTTGCACAATATACCTAGACAAGATTTTCTCACTTAGAGCAAATTTATAGTTTTGAAGCCAATGTGACTGGTTTTATTTAAGAACTGACACTACATTGAATGGAGGGATCTTTTCAATGGACCGTTTTTATGGTGTCAAACTTTATTCCAGGAGGTAGCCCTTTTGACACCTATGGCAATTAATTCCTATTACCATGAAATATTCATATTGCACTTTAATGCTAAAAGATAGACTTGTTGTTGTTGTGTCACAACGCATATTATAGTGAGCAGTACAAAAACAACAAAGCTGTTGCAGCACTTAAATATTTATTCTGAACCTGAGACCATGACACCACATTCTTCCAAGAAATATTATGCACTAAATTCACTTAATTAGTTTTAATATATTATATGCTTGGTTTTCTGTTTAAATGTGCTAACAAAAAAACAATCTGACATTTTAACTTGTGCCACATACTCTTAAAAGTAAAAAATATATTATATTATTTTATTTTATATTATATATTTCACTATAATATAATTTTCCTATAGTTTCTTTTTTCCCCCTCTTTGACTTTGGGTTGAAATGTGACCTGAACATGTTCTTTACTGGTTACATGTGATTCACATTATTAATTAATTAATTAATTGTATTGAAAAGTCATTTTATCTGTCAAGATAATACAGAAAAACCAAATACAATCTTATAGAGCCCCCTTACAGTTGTTTGCACTGATACTTTACATCTCCATTGCAAACTAGGGCATCTGGGAGTCATTTTATACTACAGTAACAATTGGTTCTCTGTTCCACAGGAGTTTTGATCAGGTGAGCATCCAAACGGCAGACTATTTGATGACCGACACCTGCCCCACCCCTGTCCGCTCTCGGGCTAATTCCATGATAAGCCTGGATCTCATCTCCCTTTCAGATCCATCTACTCCCACTCGCAAACACAGGAAGGTAGGTAGATCATGGTAGCTCTATCTGTCTCTGTCTGTAAAACTGTGGATCTTGTGAAGTGGACATGATATGGACATCACATGAGGTGGTATGTCTTTAAATCCTGAATATATAGATATTAAAATTCTCTTTACACTTTGTCCCGTTAAACAAAAAGAACACACTGATCTTGATGGCATCCCTAAAGTTTACTGTTAGGAAGAGGAAGTTGACTGGATTTCCTACGCTGAGACTAGTTTGCTTTAGCCTTGGGCAGCTGCTGCTCTACTTTCATCAGAGGATCAGATTACAGCAGTCACTGCTCCCTGTACAACAAACACTAACAGACGCTGAATCTATCTGAAATATATTCCGTGTTTTATGTGGTTCCTTTTTGAATTCTGCACAGATGGTTTTTGTAGAAGACTCATTTGTTGAATCATGTGTTCACAAACCAAGGACATCGTACATTGCTTCTTGTACTATGGTTTAGATACGTAAAAATACTTGGTAAAAAGCTTCTAGTGGATTAAAACAGCTCAAATGTGTTAAACATACATTTTCTAACCATTGTCGGCTATTTACAACAAAAATGCCATGGTTTGATGTTAGTGAAATAAGTAGCTATATAAGGTTATTTATATTTGGTTTTCCCATTTGCAAATCTGTTTCAGTTACATTTATGACGTAATGATCTCTTGAACAGCTCCAAGGGATAGTTCACCCAAAAAGGAAAATTCAGTCATTATTTACTCACTGTCAAGAATCATTCAAGAATTTTCATTTTTGGATGAACTATCCCTTTAAGTGTTGTTAACTCTTTCATGAGCCTGCAGAGGGCAGCACAGGCTGAACAACTCAGTGAACACATTAAATACATAATATGGACATCAAAAGAACAGAAAAATGTGGATAGAAGTATGATTTAAACATTATATAAAATTATACACTGTAAAAAATAATCGTAATTTTAACGATAAAAGACTGTAAAAATGCTACAGTGAAAAACTGTTAATTGGTTAACAGAAAGTTTCCTTACTATATACGGTAAATAACTGTGATATATATATATATATATAATGGTACATTTAATGTAACTTTACTGTAAAATACAGTTAAATTTACAGTTTTTGAAAGTGAAAAAGAAGTCATTGTATAATTTACAGTGAAAAACTGTAAATTGACATTCCCACAATTCACTGCGTGAAACTTCACATTTGATGTATTTTTTTTTAATAACTATGCTTCTTCATAATTTTCTTAGTTTGTTTCTTATCAGTTATGTTCATTAGGGTTTTATGTTACATTTAATGTTGTTAAATTAATGTTTATTGCTTTTTTTAAATTTCAACATGTTACCATGATGGTGTTTAATGTTTGTGTGAATGACACTGTGCAGCTTCTACAAATTAGTATTAACTTTCTTGTGGAAGAGCAGCTTGTGATGAGCTGTGATTGATCATGTGACTCCTCACTGCTGTGATGGATGGCTGTCAGTGTATTACAATTTGTTCAATAACTTTATGGCCATGTCAATATTGCTGAAATCCATTGTTAAATATACCAGTTTAATATGTAAAACTTACATACTGCTCTGTAAAGGTGATTACAGTTTTAATGTATTTTTTACAGAATTGTTCTGGCAACCAAAGTTGCCAGCATTATTCCGTAAAAAATACGGGATTTTTTTTACAGTGTAGTCCATTAAAGTCCATTTGTCCACACAACCATTTGTTAGTTATCCATACACAGAAAAACATATACGCCTTCACTTTGTTTCTATGATACTCTATGCAAAGTCCAGGTTCAGGTTGCTCATCATTACCTAAATAGATCTGAAATAGAGTAATGCAGGGATGACGTCAAAACCTGGAAGACTAATTCGCATCTAGTTTCCTCAAGGTTTTCCTATAGGGTTTTATAACAGGGTTTTTCAATTTATGAGTAAAATATAGCCTGTGGTAAACATTACTTGATGATACTTTGACTTTTTGTTCTATGACGTAAATTACACACACCCCTTGTGAAAACGCAAATTTTGAAGCTGTATTTTTGAAAACGTAACTAGATAATATAGTTTGGGGTGTGAGTGTGTGCAGTTTATGTTGTAAAACATAACCTCAAATGATCGTCAAGTTATGGCTTTATTTTACTCATAAATTGAAAAAACCCATTATAAATCCCCAAAATCTCGAGGGAACGAGGGTTAGTCTGCCGTAACGAATTAGTCTTCCGGGTTTTGATGTCCTCCCTTCACCACTTTATACGGGTGTCTTTTTTCCAAAGATTTCAGTAACAATATTATAAAAATTAGAGTGTTCACTTTGACCTACTGAGTTGACAGAAAAGTAAAGTCAAAGTCATACAACAGTGAAGTCAAACAAAATCCTCAATAGCAGTGTTAAGGAAGGCTGACCTCTCTGTTGTCCATGACAAAGAGAACTTCAAGGTTTTATCCTTCTATGGATAACCATGCCAAACAAAGAACACACCATCCCTTTTTAAAAGTTATCAGCAATAACTTATGCTTATGGTTTGTGTTATTTGCTATTTAGCTGATACTTTTCATCCAAAGCAATACTTAAATGAGTGAATATTCATTCAATTAAGTGTTGTACTCAATTAATGCACAATGCGTAGTTTGTGATCGAACGAACAATCCAGTTCATTGGTCACACAAACTTTGGGCTGAACATGCAACTAAGCGTAATAATGATACATTAGATATTTTATTAACTTTTATTTAATTGTATTCACCGTAGTTTCACTTGATGCTGTGATATACACATAAAGTTAAAGAATCCAGTTGACAAGTGCAATATAGGCTACAGAAATTAATATAAATCAGTAAAGTAATTGTTAATTGTTGTAGGCCTACTGGTGTAGATATTTAATTGTTTTGGACTTATAAATTAGCCCACATATTACATTAAAGGTTGACAACAACATTATTATTATTATTATTATTATTATTATTTTTATGAGTTGTATTATTTGGTGTTATTAATGCCCATGGTCTGTAGAGTCACGTTGGATAGACAGGAAGGGTGTGGCGTTTGGTTGGATGTGGTCGGTCTTCATACATTGACTGTGGACGAATAATGTTATTTAACGTTGCACAATAGCTCTAAAGTGAGCGCACTTACATGTGGCACAACCTGCAAAACTCCTGGAGCGGCGCCACCAAAGTAAACAGAACATGATTGCAACTTCAAAAAGTTTTGTCATTTTTTCGGTTCATGCAGTCTGCGACTGAACAGCGATTGAATGAGACGGTCTGAATATCGTAATCGGGAAAAGAGCTGGATTAATACACTGTCGGCTATTCGTTTCTGATGTTTTATTGCTGAGAACTTTGGACTGCTTACAATGATATCTGTGTTCTGATTTCGGTACACTGCATGAGATAAAGAAGAAAAACAAACAAACTAAAAAAAAAGAGACAAACTTACCACCAGCTGGATAAAATGGTAAGACTGCTATTTTGTTTAAAACAGATCAAACGTTGAGGGAAAGTAGCTGTGTTTGTTTTCGGTGTTTTATGGTGTCTGGAGAGTTTTTGACTGTCTTAAAACACATTGAGCTGCCTAGCTAGACATCATGTTATGTGATCTCACATGCGCGGTTAACGCAGAGGTTCTTTGGTCGCTCTGAGCTGAATCGAAACACTCTTATAATGCCCAAATACTGTGTAGCTAGACAGCCACAACACTCGGTTTTGAGACACCGCCTTTGTCCTAGTTTAGGATAGTTACAGTGATCCTGCGAATCACTTTTTTGAACGGTTTGTTCAAAAGAGCCGGTTCAAATTTTCAATGATTCTTTACGCCATTAATTTGCATCTCTCAGCTGAAAACGTTTCATGTCCATATTGATACAACTATCATTCGGTTCAGTTTGCTTACCGCCCGGTCAGGGGTGCGTTTCCCAAAGCCAACTATTTGGTCGCAACGCAAGTTCTGTCAACAGTTCAATTGTCAACAGTTCAATTGTCAACAGTTCATTTGAACTTGCGACCATAGTTGGCGATGCTTGTGGGAAACGCACCCCAGAGTCAAGACCTATTTATGAATTAATCTTTTGAATCCTTTTGTGAGCTGAATCATTAAAAGATATCGACTCCAAGAAATGATTCGTTTATGAATCAGACGTAGGTGGAGGTAAAAACAAGGAGGTACATGTTTCAGAGAACTGCTCTGTAGAGGAAAAGATCATATATTATTAACGGGGAATTGGCAAGGTATGAGGTTAGTCATTTCAGAATTTTTTATATGTAGGGCTAGATTTTTCCCCCAGAACGTATAAGTAACGTAAGCCTAACTGCCGCGGGAGTCTGGAATTTATGTTCTTGTCAACGTGGCGCGCTGCTAATATTTATGTTTATGTATCTGAAAGATGGAGCAGATGTCCCTCAAACTAAATTACTTATAAATTAAGTACTTGTGTTTATCTATCAAATCTATTTTATGATTCCGTTTAAAAAAACAAACAAAAAAAATTATTCTATTCATTTAAAATGAAATATTTGGAGTTTTACATTAATGTCACTGTTTAAAAAATAAAGTATTAAAACCGATGTCAGCGGCAACACCAATGTACCACATTTTTAAGTAACAATAATAACTGTAATAGTAATTTGTTGGAGGCTGTATGTCTGATTGGGGTTCTGTGCTGACTTGAATGTTCTGTTGATGTGCTTCCTCTTGTTCCCGGGTGACTGTATGTTCTTGCACATCACTCATTTTAGAGTGCCCAAAAAGGCTGGGTTGGTCTCATGTTCAGATTTTGAAGACCATGGATTGTAAAGTGGAGGTTTTGGGACTTGTCTCAAGTCTGGTCTTTTCTGGAGACATTTTACATACTTTTTCCAATGATTGTGTTTGGCTATCTTGTGTTGAATTCCTTTACTATAATTAAGGTTTTATGCATTTATGTAAGAGTGTAATCGTGAATAATTGATTTTGAAGCAATAAGATACGATAAGCTGTGCTGTAGATATAGTCATCAAGGAAGACCGCTGGCACGTTGGGGAAAACAAATACCAGTTACCATAGTTACCCATGCTTTTCTATGTGGGAAATAAGCATAAGTATAGATTTGGGTTTTTACCTTCCAGCAAATGGAATAAATAAGCTAAAACAAGACTGCTGGGAATACAAACAATGCAGTGACTCTTTACTTGTTTGCATATTTTGAATAAGTAAATTGTAAATCAGTAAATGTCAGAACTCAGATTACTATTTGCCAATGGAACACAGAAATACACAGTATTATTGGTGTTATTTTGTCAAGATCATTTATCATAATTTAGTCGTTGGAACTAAAATTGCTAATAATTTTCTAAATCTGTAACCCCCTCAGCACAGTCGCAAGTACTCAAGTTTAATAATAGTTATTTGAGATTGTATTTTATTTAGGTGTTCTTACTTGTCATTCCCTTTTTGTTCTTCCAGAGTTCTGAGGAGAAGAGTGGAGTTTTTAATCGTATTGGAAGTTTTTTCACTCGGAAGAAAAAAAGCAGAACCACATCGGATGACAGGGATGAAAGTTTGTCGCCAGAGGCAAACAGCCCGACCAAGTACTCCGGATCAGAAGAACTGAGACAGACTCAACACAGAGAGATTGATGATAATTCAGACTTTGGTCCAGAAAACAGAAGCCCCAGCGTGTGTAGCGTAGCTTCCATTGTCGCATATGGAGGAGACTTGCCTTTTGCCGACAGTGGCAGTAGTGGACGAGGGAGCGTAAAAGAGGTGGAAGTGATCAAAGTGAGCAGGGTCGAGACCTCCTGCGACAAGAAGACCGAGCATCTGGTGCAGGAAGTGAACAGGAAGCTCAAGGTGTACCTAGAGGAGACAACAGACACAACAATAAAGAAATGTGCAGACGTCCCTGTACACACTCCTGACACGCCAAAGTATTCCACGGCCTCAGGAGGGACTGAGAGTAAAAAAACAGTTTTGAAACCTACCATCACAGGCGGCGGGAATTACACGGCGCTGGTCGGGGTGACTCTGGGATCACATTCTAGAAACTCATCGTCCTCCGACATTCAGCCTGGAGAACAGACGGTAACTGAAAGCATGGGGAAGAAAAACGGCTACAAACGAAAATCACGCAAACTAAGCAATCAAGAAGGCAATAATGAGCTTCCCACCCCAACAAACAATACTTCCCCTGAGGCAGAGGAGAGGTCAGCTCAATCTTCTCCCTCACCTGGTCAAGTACACAGAGCCGTGTGGGCGGAAACTCACCTGACAGAGGAGGAGAGTGAGAGCTCCATTACTGACTCACTTTCTCCTGCAGAACCTGCTCTGGCCAGCCCAACTGAGAGTTACTCTATCCTCGGTGCAGTTGCCAGCAACACTCCTGGTCCTTCTCGAGCTCCAGAGCCAGCCAACTTCACCTTACAAGACAGTACTGAACCACCAGAGGAGGAAACTCGAGAGAGACTTATTCCTAAACACCTACATGCTGACAGCAATGAAGAGAAACGCAGAAGCTTGAAACTGTCAAAGAGTGAAAAAGTCTTTGCTAAAAGAGTGTTAGTTGGTTCTCAATCAAGCCTAGACGGGGAAGAACAAGCTGAAAGTGAGACTAACTTGGATATAACGCAGAATGTACAGCAGGTTAGGGTGAAAATGTAAGTACTCTTGTGTTGTGTTTGTGTGTCTGTGTTCGGTTACTGAGCAGCGAGGCCTTTGTTCAGTCTGTACAGTGCAGATGACTGTGTGCAATATGATACTTAGGTTCCCATGATTTTGAGAATGAGATGAACAATGACTCTCAGATCTTTCCATATATTTCTGTATATATATATCTGTTTCTGTATATATATATATATATATATATATATTACTACCGTTCAAAAGTTTGGGGTTGGTAAGATGTTTTAAATGCTTTTGAAATAAGTCTTGCATGCACACAATGCATACAATAAAACAGTAATATTTTGCAATATTATTACAATAAAAAAAAGGGTTTTATTTTAAAATGTAATTTATCAATGTGATGGCAAAGCTGAATTTTCAGCAGCCATTACTCCAGTTTTCAGTGTTGAATGATCTTTCAGTAATCATTCTAAAATTGTGATTTGCTGCTCAAGAAACATTTCTTATTATTATCAGTTGAATGCAGTTGTGCTGCTTAATATTTTTTGACGAAATCATAATGAAAGTTCAAAATAGAAAAGTTCTCATCTTTTTAAAATAGAAATAGTTATATAACATTATAAATGTTTTTGCTGCCACTTTTGATCAATTTAATGCGTCCTCACTGAATTAATATATTAATTTATTTTAAAACAATTACTCACCCTAAACTTTTAAACTTGTTTTTTTTATAGATATATTAGTTTTGTTGTGGACTTTCTTTAGGGAAGAATAGATCTAACCACAATGAGTGTTGTTGTCCAATGTTTAAAAACTGCTGTTTCTATGTGATTTGATTTGATTATCTCATTCTTTATCATTTCTTCATGTACAGCTGTGATAAAAGTAAAAGAACACCCGTACAATGGAAATTAAGTGCAAGTGATTCACTGTCAAGATAGGGATCGCTTGGGTTTCTACAGCAGCTATTGTTTGATTTGATCTTTAATTCAAACAAAATAAATTTACCTGAATAATTCTGTGCAAGTTCACCTCTGATTAATCAGCCCTTTTCAGCTGAGGAATCTTAAAAGCCTACACAATTAATTGATATTCTGTGTCATGGTTAAAAGTTTAAGCTGTTTAAGTTGTGTGCAATGATGATGCCAAGGTTAAAAATGCAGTCAAACAAGTCCATAAAAATGTTCTGAAATAATTTAAGCTCTTTAACACTAAGAGTTTTTACACGCTTGAAGAAATCAAATTATTTCTCATTAATGTGATGCATTCTGTTAAAAGCCTATGAATGCATGGATCCTCCCATACCTGTCTCTTAACATTGCTGTTGCCTTTGTCTTTCCACAGATTACCAAACCCCAAAAGTGTGAATGTCAAGCAGTCCAACCAACAGACAAATGAGTCGGTAGAAGATTGTGCTGTTTTCATTCAAGAGCAGCCTCTCGATGAGGATGTAGAGAGCCCCTTTGAACTTTCAACAGAGAATAGAGACGCTACTGATTTCCTAGAAATGTCTATTAATAAAGTACCATTTAATAGTGTGATGAGCAGTCATCAAAACTCATCTGTGCCATCCAAGCGTACGGACAGAGCTGCAAGTGGAACAAATGGGGGAATTAAAGCGAAGAGCCCTCCACCACAAGTTGCCCCTAAAACAAAAGCTGTAATGTCTCGCATTAAAAGCCTCTCTGAGGCATCAACGATAGAAGTGCCTCCAGTACGGAGATTTTCGCAGAAGCAGACAGACCAAAAAGAGATCAGGTCTCCAACAGAAAAAGACCAATCTGTTACACTTAGTAAACCAATTGACACTAAGACCAGAATTCCTAAGAAAACCGGACCTGAGGTTCAAACAAAACCAAAGAAAGTGGTGGAGGTTGTCACAGTGTATAGTGTGTCTACTGAAGCTGAAAGACAGATGTCCACCAAACGTCAGAATGGGGCAGGATTATTAAGCCCAGAGCAGAAAATGTCACAGACAAAGAGAGTGGAAGAGAGGGATGTTTTGGATGCCTCACTAATGACAAAAACTTCTGAACCCACCAAAGAACAGGTCACTCTTTCAAAGCCTAAAAGAGAAAGAAGTCTAAAAAATTCATTTTCTGTTTCTGATGATAAATCCCCATCCTCCCCATCTTCACTGGAGAATTCTGGTTCAGCAAAGGTTAACATTGAATTCAAAGCATGTAAAGATATCCATAAATCAAAAACACAACCAACAATTGTCAGTGACAAAAGTCCAACAACAAAGAGTAGTTTTCATTATTCAAAGAGTAAAGTCAAATCAGGTGATACTGGCAACAAAACCCAGGTAAAACTTTCTTCCTCAGCGCCTGGCATTGACCAATCAGAGCAGAACATTGAAAAGGAGAAGTCAGCGAACGAAACCCAGCTAAGCGGGCCAAAGAGTCCAAGAAAAGTCATGACTGATGTGTCACCAACAGGAAGGAAGCTGCCTCAAATGACACCTCTTAAACAGCCCTCAGATGCCCGCGGAGAGAGTGAGTCATATGAACCCGCTTCTCTGCCACTTACCAAGCCAGAGAGAAATGAGTCATCACTGGTTAACGGTCCTGAAAGTAATGGAAAATCTTCCAAATGTGATCAAGCCACTGGGAATGCTGCGGCCAGGGTATCACCAGAGCTCAAATTGAAAAGCCCGGTTAAGGACATGGGTGATTTACAGTCATCAACACCACGTCTCAAAAGTCCCACTAAACTTACACCTAAGAAAGATTTTAGGAAGGCAGAGGCAACTGCAGCTTCAGATTCAAAAATAGACAAATGTGACAAGATGATGACAAATTTGTCTGTCACACCCACCGCTGCTCTGAAATCTGACACAGTTAAAAATATTTGTACACAATCAAAAGCCATTTCTGAAACGGAGAGTGAAAATTGTGATACTGCTGAGACCAAAGTCACGCCAGATGTGTCACTTTCAGTAAATGATTGTCAAACCAATCGACAGACAGAATCAAATCTATCAATTTTATCAGACCCACATGTGGAAGTTGCATTAGATAAACAGTCAGATATTGCCAAAGAAAAGGATATTGTTAGGTTTGGGGAAAAGACATGTGCTTTTGCTACGGCAGATGAAATTTCCACAATATCCAAGACGGCTAAACAATCAAAAGCCTCTTCTGAAACAAATGGCAAAAAATCTGGTGCCACTGATACTAAAGTCACATTGGATTTGCCAGTTTCAGAAAAGAATGATTCACACTCCGAAAAACACCAGACTGAGTCAAATCTACCGATTTCATCACACCCACATGTCCACGATGTACCAGATAAGCAATCAGTCAAAGAGAAGCCGCTTACTGGGTTCAAGAAAGAGAAGTATGGCCTTACCAAGGAAAATGACATTTCCTCAATACCTGAGATGGGCCATTATACAGCCACTGATCTGAGTATTCAAGATATTTGTAAACGATCAGAAACCACTTCTAAAACAAAGGGTGAAAAATCTGGTGCTGCAGAAACCAAAGTCAAACTGGATGTGTCACATGTCCAGATTATGCCAGATATGCAGTCGGATGTTGTCAAAGAGAAGTTTCTTGGATTCAAAGAAGAGAAATGTGCCCTTACTAAGACAGATGAACTTTCCACAATACCCAAGGCAGCTAAACAATCAAGAGCTTCCTCTGAAATGAAAGAGGAAAAATCTGGTGCTGCTGAAACCAAAGTCAAACTGGATGTGTCGCTTTCAGAAAACAACAAAATGCAAACCATAAAACTTCAGGCCGAATCAAATCTACCAGATTCATCAGAGTCACATGTCCAGATTATGCCAGATATGCAGTCGGATGTTGTCAAAGAGAAGTTTCTTGGATTCAAAGAAGAGAAATGTGCCCTTACTAAGACAGATGAACTTTCCACAATACCCAAGGCAGCTAAACAATCAAGAGCTTCCTCTGAAATGAAAGAGGAAAAATCTGGTGCTGCAGAAACCAAAGTCAAACTGGATGTGTCACATGTCCAGATTATGCCAGATATGCAGTCGGATGTTGTCAAAGAGAAGTTTCTTGGATTCAAAGAAGAGAAATGTGCCCTTACTAAGACAGATGAACTTTCCACAATACCCAAGGCAGCTAAACAATCAAGAGCTTCCTCTGAAATGAAAGATGTAAAATCTGGTGCTGCTGAAACCAAAGTCAAACTGGAAGTGTCGTTTTCAGAAGACAACAATTTGCAAACCATAAAACGCCAGACAGAATCAAATCTACCAGATTCATCAGAGTCACATGTCCAGATTATGCCAGATATGCAGTCGGATGTTGTCAAAGAGACATTTCTTGGATTCAAAGAAGAGAAATGTGCCCTTACTAAGACAGATGGAATTTCCACAATACCCAAGGCAGCTAAACAATCAAGAGCTTCCTCTGAAATGAAAGAGGAAAAATCTGGTGCTGCAGAAACCAAAGTCAAACTGGATGTGTCGCTTTCAGAAAACAACAAAATGCAAACCATAAAACTTCAGGCCGAATCAAATCTACCAGATTCATCAGAGTCACATGTCCAGATTATGCCAGATATGCAGTCGGATGCTGTCAAAGAGAAGTTTATTGGATTCAAAGAGGAGACATGTGCCCTTACTAAGGCAGATGAAATTTCCACAATACCAAAGACAGCTAAACAATCAAAAGCTTCCTCTGAAGTGAAGGATGAAAAATCTGGTGGTGCTGAAACCAAAGACAAACTGGATGTGTCGCTTTCAGAAAACAATTTACAATTCATAAAACGACAGACAGAATCCAACTTACCAGTTTCAACAGAATCACATGTGCAAGTTGCATCTGATGAGCTGCCAGATGTTATCAAAGAGAAGTCTCTTGTTGGGTTTGAGAAAGAGCCAACCAGTAATCTGAGTGCTCAAGGTATGGAGAATTCTTGCCCTTCTCAGGAACAAATCATTCCAGTCATTTCAGAGAATTCATCAAAGATAGTCCAGAAGATGGAGACCAAAGAGCACAGTGTGAAAAATGCTCTAAATTCAGATTTGAAACGACCAAAAACAACTATACAGTTAGATGAAAAGGTTAAAAATAAAGAAGAAAGTGGTAAATGCAAAGTTTCAGAGAAGGAACCGGTTCAGTCTGAAGACTCAAGTAAAACAAACCCAGAATGTGTCAAACAGAATGAATCCAATATATCAAAGCAAGTTGATGAGACAGCAGTAGCAGTGTTCACAGCTCCAGAGGCTGTTTCTAAACCAGAACCTATTCAAAAAGGTGATCAGCAATTTCCACCAGTTAAAAAAATACCAGATAAACGGACTCTCAAAGTGGACAGGAAGAGTGAAGTCCGAATTAAAAATACCGAGTCTAACCTGAAAGTCAAGGATTTTACAAAGACTAAAGATAAACTACCAGCTATTAACTTGCAAAAGCTGAAACTACCATCCGACCAAAGCGTTCAACAATTTACATCTCAGAATCTTCCTTTGGACCCCAAAAGCCTCTCACAAATTAGCAAGGCACCATCTAGTTGGTTAGACGTGGACCAAAGTTTTGAGAAAAAGAAAACCGAGAGACGTTTGGATTGTTCTGCAAGTGATGACAATCAGCTTGACACTTCGGGTGACTTTGATGATTTCATTCGTAACATTAAAGAGAACTGCTCCCCTTTCTCTTTGCCTCCACGAAAACATGGGCAGAACAAGATGCCTTCGCCACCTTTTGCCATGCCGGCCATTAAAGAAGATCACTTTGAAAAGATTCTTGACCCAGAACAGTTCCAGTTTGGGACAAGAAAAACTGCGGGACCAAAAGACCCCTCTCCAGCCATGATTATTAAGAAGAACAATGAAGGGGCAAAAACCAACCCATTGTCCAAACGTACTGAGGACAGCCTGCTTTATAAAGGTCTTTCATCTAGACGGGAACAAGACAAAGCTAAAAAGCTCACAGTTACTGAGGAGAAAAATGATGGAGAAAAACAAATCACAGAAGGCTCTGGAAAAATGTCCTCAAGATTGGAAAGAATGTCAATAATTTCAAACCTTGTGAACTACCCAAACACATCAAGAAAAGCCAGAACTGAACCAAGCTCTCTCGTTAATGGCATTCAGTCCCCTATAACGCCATCACCAGAGGTGGTGCCAACCTCAGGAGAGCAGAAGGGTATACCACTGTCCCATGCTGTCACAGCTCCAAAAGAGGGGCTTGGTGATTTGCCAGATCATGGTAATGTAAAGGGTGAACCTGGTGATTCAGTAAAGGGCCCATTGACACCTCCTCCTCTTCCAACTTTCTCAGAAGTCAAACTGCCTGACTTATTGGAGAAATACATGAATAAAGGCAAAGAATCCAACACAATTAACCAGCAAAGGCCTGACACTAGCTCTCTCCCTACATTGGATATTGGTCTCACCTCCAACACATTTAATTCAAACATTGGACTGCAAGGCAAGCCATCTCCATCCAACAGCACTCAGCAGATTCCACTGCTCACCCCCAGCAGCCTCTCACCAACATATGCAGAGGTAAGAAAGATTCTTAATACAGAATGCCCACTGTTTAAAAAAATCTCCTACGAGTAAAGCCCAAAAAGTCCTCATTTTAAGTTCTTGCTTGTGTAGTATAGTGACCAGCATGTGCTATATACTCTAGTGCATAATGTGTATAAAGCCTTTGTTTATAGTTTATTCGCTGCAGGGATGTGGTAAAGTCTAGCTTCACCGTTGAAACCGCTTGGGTTGTCTGTACCTGCCTGGTCTTTTATTAGTGGAACTTATGTTGTTCTGTGTTTAAGGGGAATGTTAAGCCCTTTAGGCTTCAGTTTGTTTTTATAGATACCACTGATCACAGTGCCTTAGTGAGCAGTACTATTTTTAAACCAAAGGTCCAGTCAATCTCTCAAAGTAGTTTTAAAAATGTAATAAATGTCATCTCATAATTTTCTTATGTTTATATTCAGAAATAATGTTTGAATATCAACTAATTTGTTTTTGATTTCTAGACATCAGGTGTCAGAGGCTTCCACAGACGCCCTGGAAAGGTATTGCAAAACTGAACTGATCTATACAAAATTTATCATAAATTATCAAATTTATAGTACTATATTTATTTAGTACGTATTTTAGTACAACTAGTTTAGTGCTACTTTCCAGTTCATTATCCGCTCTTACAGTGCTTCAAATAAGCAAGAAGAAACCGTATAACTTATGGGGGGTGTTTAAATATTCTTGCTTGCAGATTGTTATATACCAACAACCTCATTCTGGAGGAGAGGCATACGAGGTGTTCAGAGACGTAGAGGATGCCACCTCTCTGACACTTTCTCCACTCATCTCCGTAAAGGTCGTCAGAGGATGGTAGGAACAATCACTTCCTCCTTTTCAGAATGTGACAAATCTCGTGACACTTTAAATTGCAAGTTTGCTAATGTTTCCTGTTTTGTCCTGTTAGCTGGCTGCTGTATGAAAAGCCAGGCTTCCAGGGCCGATCCATCGCACTGGAGGAGGGGTCAGTTGACTTAGCAAATGAGTGGGCGGAGACAGAGCCCAGTGGGGAGATGGGGACAAACAGCATGCCACTCCCAACTACACCCATGGTCATTGGCTCCATTAGACTTGCATTAAGGGTAAGTCTAAAATCATGAGTCACATGCATCAACACCTGACCTCAGTACACTGATTAATCAGTACAATTACCCAAAGAATCTCTTAAATAAAAAAGTATAATATGCATTGAAAAATGCAAATGAAGCACTGACGTGCATGCTTTGATCTTTGATTTGCATTGATATTTTCCTCTCAGGACTACAGCACAGCAAAAATAGACCTGTTCACAGAGCTGAATGGGATGGGCCGAATGTCTTCATTCTGCGATGACACCATAGAAACCTGTTCATTTGGTATTCCTCAAAATACTGGGTCCATTAAGGTCCACAGTGGGGTGTAAGTGAGCTTCTGATCTTAAATAAATGCCAAAATGCCTGCTTATATTGGATGCTTATGTTTACAAAGGCTGCATTTATTTGATAAAAAAATACAGTAAAAATAGTAATGTGAAGTTTTCAATTTTCATATATTTTAAAGCTGAATTTTTAGCAGCCTTTACTCCAGTCACATGATTTTTCAGAAATAATTATAATATGCTGTTTTTTTGTTCAAGAAACATTATTATTATATTATCAATGTTGAAAACTGTTGGTGCTGTTTCAAAAATCTGCATTCATTTGAAATAGTAAAGACATTTATAATATTTAAAAAGATTTTTGTCACTTTTGATCAATTTAATGCTTCCTTTCTGAATAAAACTATGAATTTCTTTCTTTAAAAAAAATCTTTCGTTTGGGAGTAAAACTTTGATCTCTCAAAGCTAAAATGAGAGATGAAGGACACAAGCTTCATATTTGGCCTCGCTGCATGATCAAGTGGAAAGTTTTGAGGTTAAAGCATGTGACCGATGATTGGAGTTGTGAGACTTTTTGAGAGAAAGAGACTGTGTGTCTGAATGGAATGTTGCTTTCTTGTTGTTGCGTGTTGGTTGGAGATGACATTTTCAAAATATTTTTTTTTATGCCTTGGCATGTTTGTTTTTTGCCAAAGCTTCAAGAAGCTTGTTTTTAATTTACAAAATGAAAGAAAAAAACTGTTAGATGTATTCTTACTGAAGTTGTGTGTTTGTAGATGGCTGGTCTTTAGTGACCCAGGTTTCCAGGGTCTTTTGGCTGTTTTGGAGGAAGGAGTATATCCCTGCCCTCAGGACTGGGGTTTTCCCACCCCATTTGTCGGATCACTGCGACCCTTGAAAATGGTAATTACATACCACCACTCCCTTTCACACACTCATTTTATCTTTATCATTAATAAACAAGATAAATGAACAGAGATTCAAATAAAATTGTTCCTTATGATTTTCACAGGGTGAAATTAAGGTGGAAAATCCCAATGAAGTTAAGGTGAGCTGTACTTGTTAAATCTCATTGAACACTGATTGTGCCAATAAGTGTAGTTCACTGAGAAAATTGTAATGACTAAAGACTAATTTTGCACATTTATTTGGTGAAAGACTTTCTGCACAGCCTGGAATTAAAGGTTCCTGTTGATGCAGGTAGTCTGGACCAGACTGAGCATGCCCAGATGTGGGATCTGTGCTTATTTGCTTTCTCAGTCCTTCCCAGCATTTTGTTCTTTTGATTTGTGAGCCGTGAAAGAGCAGCAGCATTGTCTGACTTTGAAACTACAGTTAGATGCAGTAAAAACTTTGGCAGTACATGTATCTCACAGCAGAGGCGTGTGATCCCATAATGATTTAATTACATCTATATATTACTTATCCTCTGCCATAACCTTTTACTGCTTCTTATATGATGGACTAAGGAAGCCGGGTTAGTTTGCGTGAACTGTGCCTCTAAGGTTTCTGACGTTCCTGAACTAATGTCTGGCTGGGCTCTGAGTGCTGTATACAGGCCTTGAGTTGGCTTTGCTAGAGCCTCACCAACTCTGGAGGAAGAATTCCCAGAATTCAGAATATTCTGCCTACAAATGTACGCACACACATAAACACACCCCAGTCAAATTTTGCTGTATGAAAATAAATCATCTCTAAGACCTCTGTAGCATTTCATTTGGTCATATTCTGGGATGTTGTGTTCGGGTCTGTTCACACAGGATGTGTTATTGCATCTGTCTGTGCTATTTAATTGTTTATCTGAGTAAAAATGCTCTAAACAGATATCTTGAACTGCTGCAACTTGCTTAAATTGTTCATGTTGCTTCATGTTTTTGACTGAAAGTTATTTTGCAGGAAGCTGTAAAGTGTTTTTCTCTGTCTGAAATTAGGCAGTACTCTTTGAAAATCCAATGTTCCAAGGGGAGTACATAGAGATCGAAAGGGACATTTACAACTTTGATGAAGGAGAGGAAGAGGAGAAGAAAAATGAAGAAGAGGAGACTGAGAGTCCTGACAACACCAGGAGAAAGAGACTCTGTTCTGTCGGTTCATTGAAGATCCTGAGTGGCCTGTGAGTGTACTCCTTTTTTGGCAGTAAGACTGATGTTGTAGGATTTGGTTTTGTTGGTCGCAAAGTCTGAAGATCTACACATATCCTCAGTGCTTGCTGGTTTATTGCCTTTAGCTAGCTCAGACAGTGATTCATGTTTTTGTTCATACACAGCTGGGTAGGATACTCTGCGCCAGGATTCGAGGGGCGCCAGTATCTTCTGGAGGAAGGAGAGTATGCAGACTTCACTGACTGGGGTGGACTGGAAGACAGGCTCCAATCTATACGTCCTGTGTTAGCAGTATGTACACGGAGACCATTTCTGAAACAAAAGAGCTCAAGATTAATATTAAATAACCAATTTACTGCATAACCTCCTCGCATTAATAAACTATGTGTAGCCTTGTGTTTTTCTGACTTGCACCGATGTTTTCTTGGAATAAGGAGGTTGTAAGTCATTTCATGGTTTTGTGTCCTTCTGTAGGATTTCATTACTCCTCACGTGAGAATGTTCAGTGAGCGTGATTTCACTGAGAGAGGGATGAATGTGGACCTGCTGGAACCTGTCATCAGCATGGAAGCCACTGGCTTTGGCATAAAGACGCAATCAGTGGAAGTCCTCTCTGGAGTGTGAGTGTCTGTTTGTTCCTTTAGTTCCATCTATATCTAAACTCCCTCCTTCAGACATCACTCTCTCGTTTTCTTCCTTTCTTTCAAAACCTTCGACCTTAGTAAGGCTGTAAATCTGTGAGTGAAATGTTTATTAGCCCTTATGGGAAACTGCTTACAGAAATAATGAAAGTATTAAAATTTGACTGAACTACTCCTGATTTTATCTAACTCATTATTCAAGAGTGTAACAGTCACCACTTACATTTTTAGAAGTCTTGGTTCTAATTCAGAGTCATTAACCAAACTAACAAACTTCAAGATGAATCAAAACATTACAAACTTTGCTTTGAAGCAAAAGATATTTGGAAATCAGACCAATATACACTAATGTTCAAAAGTTTGGGGTCAGTATGATTTTTTTCTTCTTCTTTTATTCAGCAAGGATGCATTATATGAATAAAAAGTGACAGTAAAGACATTTATATTTAAAAACATTACATTAAAAAAAAAAAGTTCTTTTGAACTCTATTTATCAAAGGATCCTGAAAAAAAAGTATTATGGTTTCCAAAAAAATAATATTTAAGCAGCTCTACTGTTTTCAACCTTGATGATAATAAGAAATGTTTCTTGAGCAGCAAATCAGTATATTAGAATGATTTGTGTAGGATCACGTGACACTGAAGACTGGAGTAATAAATGCTGAAAATTCAGCTTTGCCATCATAGGAACAAATTACATTTTAAAATATATTAAAAATAGAAAACAATTATTTTAACTTATAATAATATTTCACATTATTACTGTTTTTTCTATATTTTTGAAAAATACTTCTTTCAAAAGCATAAAATCTTGCCAACCCCAAACTTTTGAATAGTAGTGTGTGTGTATATATTATTTTATGATTAATGGAGGATGATTTTTGTCAGTTAATCCATCAACTAGTTCTGTAAGATCTATAAACTAGTTCTAAAACGAATGTGTTAATGCAGCAGTCTTGATTCACTCTGTAACTGATAAATGGTATGTTATAAAGCTGTTTCATGGTTTAAGTTCATACCTGCTCTAGTATTAATGAAAGGAGTGGCACATGAGTGTGAGGTGTCATATATCCTGAGGCAGACTCATACTCTAGTTATCTTAAAAAAAAAAAATGTTTTAGTCATGCTGTGGCAAACACACCCCCCATCTCTCTCTTCTCTTGTTCACGTACAAACAGACACATAACTCAAGAACACACGTGTCACTGTAGCTCTGCATCATTGTCAAGGGTGTGACTTTGATATGATACTGAAATGAATAAATTATGAGATAAGTAAAACAATAGTGTTCATATTTAACACTGAATCACAATGTCATTGTGTCTTTTTATGTATCTGTCACATATATTTCTATATATTTAAAGCCTGTGGTTTACTTCATAAGATAAGTGACATTTTGCCTACTGTCTGAGACTGATTCATTCATCTGTCCGAGACTGATTCATTCAACTGTCCATATTTTCCTTATTGGATGTGAAATTTGTGGCAAATTTGGAGTTTTGTGTATGTGAATGTGGTCCATATTACAGATATCAGGGGCCTCATGTATATAAACTTTACGTAGATTTCATCCTAAAAGTGTGCTTGCGCACAAAAGCTAGATTTTTAGTATAGCAGAACCTGCACAAAATTCCATCTGTAATACCCAGTCAGCAGAAGATGCGTGCGTGCATGTGCATATATGCATCTCCACCCTGTCTCCTCCCCGAAATAACCACGTATCGAGCTTACGACGCCTAGTTTTACTATGCATGTCCTTATCTGGATATAATTTCCTTATGCATATTCCAATCCATGTTAAACTATGTTTAACAGTACAAGACATTAAGAAAATATGAGATACGAACTTTAAATGCCATTTCTGCCATCACATTACATTGCTAAAAATCATTTAGTATCCTTGTCTTAGAAAAAATATCCATTAAAGCAAAATTATATAAAATACTTTTCAGAGATAGTTTTCCGAGAAGAGTTATTTTCATTCTTTTCCACTTGCCAAATAGTATTTTTAATTGTTTTAAACAAATCAAATTTATGCAATGTTGCCTGTAAGGTAAACATTTTTTTAGAATGTTTATACAGTATATTTGTATTGGAAACAGATAGGCCCGTTTATTTTTTCAGTGTAAATACAATTGTCTGTCTCATCATTTATAAAAAAAAAAAAAAAACATGCAAATCTTAACATTTCCTTCTAATTCTATCCTTCGAATACAATTGTTTTTGCGTGCACACAACATCAACAGCACAACTCCGTGCAGCAGTGGTTGTACAGTATTGTCATCGGACCTTTTTAAACCGACCAATGGACCTTTCCACCACCAAACGAAAATATGCATCATTAATCATTGTTCTCGCGAGAAATATTTTCTCAGAACATGAGTTCTGCAATTTAGTTTAAAGAGGAATTATCATGCACCGAGCACTCTTCGCTGTCATTAAAGAGTGGATACGCATGGTCTAAAGTGTGTGGACAGTGCGCACATATTTATGCTAAGTTTATTTTTTATAAATCCTGATATGTGCGTGAAAAATTGCATACGCTCATTTCAATTCCTTTTTTGTGCGTACGCAACGTTTTTACATCAGGCCCCAGGTCTGGTGGGTTACAAAGTAAGCCTGTCAGTGAAATTCTCTAACATCTGATTGAACAGGTGGATAGCATTCGAGAAGGAACACTTCTCAGGCGAACTGTATGTTTTAGAGAAGGGTCTCTACTGCAGTCCAGATGATTGGGGAGCACACAACTTCAAGATCTTGTCTCTTCAGCCTGTGGTTTTGGTAATCATTATCTGCAATATCTGCCCTAATTTTTTCAAAGTTACAGTTACATTGTTGCTTAAAAAAATCCCAGCTGGTGTTTGTATTCCCATGGCATCTTATTTTTTTTTCTGTCTCAGGATCAAGCTGAAGGACTGTCTAGATATAAGGTGAGTTTAACGGACATGCATCAATTGGCATTGTTCCACATGGAGTCTGCACACGTTATACACATCTTCTCCGTTGATTGTGAATCTGAATTAATTAATCAGATATGAATTAATTGGAGCTGATATTACACTCTTTTTGGCCAGTGAAAAAATGATCAAATTAGAATATTTTTTAAATGAACATGCAGCAAGATGCTTTGTGAATGACAGGCATTGACATTCTGTGGACAGATTCCAGGCAGGCCTAATTGGAACTGTGTGAAGATCTTTACTATTCTAGTCAACTACATTTATTTTTAGTTTAGATTAAGAAGCAACTTCTTTGAAGCATCAGTAATGTGATGTTTTGATGAATCTCTCTGCCTCTTGTTGGTTCATAGGTGCAGTTGTTCTCTGAGCTGGGGTTCCAGGGAACAGTACAGACCTTAGATGAAAGTGTTGCATTCCTGACAGAGGGCTTCCAGCCCATGTCCTGCAAGGTTTTGGCTGGGAGGTATGAACCCAGTTCAGTGCTATCAAAGAAAATTCCTTTTCTCAAAATAATCAACACGATAGTATAGTGTTTCAAAATAATGATACATTTCTCTGTGCATGTCTGTGCTTGAAGCTGGGTGGTGTTCGACGGCCCACAGTTCACTGATAACATGTATGTACTGGAGGAAGGAGAATACCCCAATCCTGAGGCTATGGGCTTACTCAACTCAGATTGCAAAATCAGCTCTGTCCACAGTGTAGGACATGTGAGTACTGTAAAGATGACAGGAGTCCCTAGGCTTGTCAGATTAATATTTAATTTGGTCCGACTGAAAATGAGGCTGTGAGAATGTGCCAGGCAATAATCTGTCACTTGCCCTATCAGACGAGGGCTGTCTTGCAACAACACATTACTTTCATTGGTCATGTACATGTATTTTTGACCCTTGCCAACATTTGGATTTAAACATTAAACATTTATCTGGCTAAAAGAGATGTGAATCTGTTTTAATAACAAGAACAATGCTCTTGGACACAATATCTACAATGAATTTGAAAATAATAAAAAAAATCAAATGAATTGTACTATATGCTATAGAAAAGTCTAATGTAAAAAAATATATATATATAAAATATGTATCATGTTTGTGGTGAAGCAAATTGAAAATGTTGACAGGATATATTTCTAGAGAATTTGTGATATACAGTATAGTCTTGTACTACATAAAGTTGGTTTTGTGTGTTTGTACATTTTCTATATATCTATGTTTAGTCATCTGTTTTAGCGTTTTTATGTTCATGATTTCCAAACTAGTACTAATACAGTACTAGTGCCTGTTTTGTTAACTGAAGGATCTAAACCCAGGTACACAACAGTACAACATATTCAATTCCAAGGACAGCCTTGTTTTCGGTCATGTCATATTAAATACAGTCTCACTGCCTAATCTGATAAAGGTTTCTGTGACTAAATCATGGGATTTTTATTTAATAATAAACACTTCTTTGGTTTCTCTGTCTACCTCAGGAGTTTTCTATACCCTCCATCACACTCTTTTGTAAATCCGGCTTCAGAGGGCGTAAAATAGTTCTGACAGACGGCGTTTTGAACCTTTCTCTGGCTGGAATTGATGGGCGGGTCAACTCTCTATTGGTCAATGGAGGAATGTGAGTGGTTTCTGACCCATTTAAAGCTCAAGCTCAATCTGATTTCAGTGTGGATGTAGAAAAACCGAAGTTAGTGATATTTAGACTCATTTATGATTAATTTGGATGTGAAAATAATGTAAAAGTAATTGATTTACCTTTGTTGTCAGCTGGGTGTTGTATGAATACAGCAACTTCCGTGGTCGTCAGGTCCTGCTCCATCCCAGCGAGATCGGTGATTGGCAGAAGTTCAGCAGCTGGGAGCAGATTGGCTCTCTTCGTCCATTACTACAGGTATAAAACACCAGCACGTCTCTAAGAGATCATCTTATAGAGTTGGAGATGGAAAACTATGACCATCTAGTTGTTCAGACAACCCAACAAGTAATTTAGCACATTGCTAGTTCTCAGAAGCATCTAAAAGCATTATTACTTATGATTTGCTATGTATGTGTTCAGACGCAGAGGGGTGTTGGATAGTTTTGCTCTTAGGCGTGAGAGTTAATAATTTGGGAACAGCACATATGAAGGCAGGGCAAACCTAACACATTTACAACATGTGCACATACTCCAGTAAATCCAGAACGAGATCAGTAATCCTCATAATGGCTTAATAATACATGGTTTAGTGGAGTTTATGAAAGAAGTTTTAGTCAATCTTTATCAACAGTAGTTCTCCTGTAGCTAATGTAATCATTCAAACAAAACCATATATCTTCTGTCTTTCTCAATAGAAACGTGTTTATTTCCGGCTGCGTTGTGCAGAGACAGGGTGCTTGATGTCTCTGTCTGGACCCCTGGATGATATAAAGCTGCTTCGGGTTCAAGTGCTGGAGGAATCTGGTGGTCCAGAGCAGATGTGGGTCTATGAGAACGGACTACTGCGCTGCAAGGTACTCGAGACTTTGATCAACACTGTTCCACCTGAACTTGAGTACACGTGTGATCTCTGTTATGGCTCTGTTTACCGATCATGACCAGCATCTTTCTCTCTTGCTCTTCAGATGGTAGAGGACTGTTGTGTGGAGACGTCTGGAGGTGTGGTGATGGCAGGTTGCAGGTTGAATGTCTCACCTGAACCAGGCAAAGACAATCAGTTCTGGAGCATCACGGGAGACGGAATAATACGCAACAACCTCAAGCCTGACCTTGTGCTGGAGGTCAAAGGTCAGTACTTGCATATGCTTGAAAGAAGACAATGAAAAGAAAAGAAATGAAACAGAAAGGTTGGAATGAAACAAACAGAGAAACATTCACATGCACAGGGTGTGTGTGTGTGTGTGTGTGTGTGTGTGTGTGTGTGTGTGTGTGTCATAAAACTGCACCCTCCACTGACGAGCTCATAATCTCTTACTGATGACACATTCTGATGTCACATCATACCTGTGTGATATTTCTTTTAGCAACTGTGCTCGACCCTCTCACATACATTCCACAACATCCTGTCAGAGGCAAAGAATCTGTGCAATCTAAATGCTTATAATATTCCGAAAAGTACTATTGTAACATATTAATATAATTAAAATACATAAAAATATAATATATGGTTATAATATATAATAAAAAAATATAATTCATAAAATTTAAAAGGTTCTATGGTCAATGTGATTTGCTTGGTATAAAGTCACTAAATTATTTCTTCGGCTAGAAATGTGTGTTATGTGTGTATAATATATATATATATATATATATATATATATATATACACTACTGTTCAAAAGTTTGTGGTCAGTGAGAATTTTATTTTTATTTTTTGGAGGAAAGAAATCAATACTTTTATTTATCAAGGACAGTAAAGACATTTATAATGTTACAAAAGATTCTATTTCAAACAAATGCTGTTCTTTTGAACTTCCTATTCATCAAAGAATCCTAAAAAATAAAAAAATAAAAAAATGTACAACTGACAGACCAACAACTGTTTCAACATTGATAATAATAATAAATGTTTCTTGAGCATCAAATCCTCATATTATACTGATTTGTGAAGGATCATTTGACACTGAAGACACTGACACTGGTGATGCTGAAAATTCAGCTTTGATCACAGGAATAAATTACACTTTACTATATATTCACACAGAAAACAGCTGATTTACACTGGAATAATATTTAATACTATAACTGATTTTTGTTGTATTTTTAATCAAATAAGCGCAGCCATGGTTACCAGAAGAGAATTCTTTTAAAAGTATTTAAAATCGTACCGACCCCAAACTTTTGAACGGTAGTGTATATACTTTTTTAAATCCTTATTCAGCCATCACAATTAATTAGAAAAGTCATTGATCAAAATGTTTTATGTATGGCCCTGGTGCTAAATATATTTGAAAGGAAACAATTTGTAAAATTATTTTTTACATGTAAAGCAAAAGGAGATCAGGGACATCAAACAAGAAGTAAGATGAGGGTAAATTATTTATTTGGACTGAGAAGGTAATCTCTGATGAAAGATCACTGCTGTATGGCTCCTTTTGTTTGTCTGAATTCAGAATGAGGCTGTTTGCGATTCAAATTACTGTAACCTGAGCTCCACCCTGACTTCAGTCAGCTCAGCAGTAGCCGTGTTGCCATCTAGTGGTCACTTAATATGGAACACCTCATCAGTCTTGAATTAGCACTGAAATGGCCAAGGCAAAAGTATATATTATATATTCACACACACAAATTTATAGAACACACACACACACACACACACACACGCATATATATATATACATACAACTGTTGGTTCTGGTTCTTGAATCTGATTGGCCGAGAACCTTATCCTGTCATGTGACATTCTACTATTATCACACGGAAACCATTTCACAATTTGTATCACCTTGCATTTCTCAAAGCAATAATGTAAATGTAAAGCATCTATAAAATACATGTACACTACTGTTCAACAGTTTGGGGTCAGTAAGACTTTTTAAATGTTTTAAAATACAGTTTTCTATTATTTAATATATTTAAAATGTTAAATTATTCCAGTAATGGCAAAGCTGAATTTTCAGCAGACATTACTCCAGTCTTCAGTCACATGATCCTTTAGAAATCATTCAAATATGCTGATTTGGTGCTCAAAAAAACATTTTCTTATTATCAATGTTGAAAACAGTTGTGCTCCTTAATATTTTGTGTAACTATGTTTTTATCAGGATTTGTTTTTGAAGTAAAGTTAGTACTTGTTAAAGTCTTGAGAGGTATTTGACCTTCTTAATCTATTCTTCATCCAGGTGGCCAACAGTATGATAAAAACCAGGTGATTCTTAACACCTTTGATGAGCAGAAAAACAACCAGAGATGGACAGTGGAAATCCTTTAGTGCTTGAGTCACAACAGAGACTAATTCTGTTATTCCTGATGTTCAAAAGATCTGAGGCTTTTCTGAGTCTTCAAGATGATGGGAATCTAAACCCCCAAAAATTACTCTGACGAGTCTCTCTCACTGATGGATTGTTATCCCAAAGATGAGAATGTATGGGGGACTGAATCTCTTGAAATCATCCATCTACATTACAGTCTCTAAATGAGTGATGTCTCTTTGAACATTCAACAGTAGTTCATTGACTACATCAAGGACATTAAAAAGACTTGCCACAGTTTCCCTGGATGCGTCTCAATCAGCTCCCTTGTTCAGTAGTCAGGGCACTGATCAGGGAGTCAGCCATTTTAAAAGCAGTCTCAATCGCAAAATCCTTACAGTGCACTGAAACATTCGTTCCCTAAAACGTCCCACAATGCATCATGAAAACCAGGGAGCATCAACGCTCACTAACAGAAGTTCTGAAGCGCAAAACATAAATCATGCAAGCCAACTCACTACACATAATGGCACGAGATAGATGTTTTTAAAAATACAAAGCATCATTTAATTATATTTCAGCATAAACTACATCGCTAGTCAGGTAATGAACATAATTTAGCTAATGTTTGTAATCTACAGGTGAAATGGTGCACGTATATGTAACAAGCAAAGAATTTATAAGAATGTACTTTAAATAACATTTAAAAAGATATCAGATTAAGATATCAGTTCTGCTGTTGTTCATAAATACCAGTAAGTTAGGGATGTTGTACAATGAGGACGTTGTCATGTCGCAGGCAATAGTCATTAATGTCCCAATGTGTAGTGAGCCAGGGTCCTTATTCTTTACCAGTGCCCAAATTTGTGTACACGATACTGATTCATGACTTCGGAAACTGAATGAGACGCACCCACTGTCTTTTGTGCTAGTACTTTTTTGCTGTTGATCCGGAAACACAAATAACTGACCTGCTTGCAATGCAATGATATTACCAAAGGGGGTGCAATAGCATTAAGATTTGTATCTAGCTGCACTTTAGGTGGCCTTGTTCATTTTTTTGTATTCGCAAAGAATCAAGGTTTGGCTAGTTAGTTTGATGCAGTTTACCCCTTGCTTAATGGGACAAAAAGCTTCCTCCAATTCTTGAGTTGCTTCTGACTAAATTATTTTTTGTAAGAATTACATAATGTAGAGATTTCATTCTAGTATAATAGATATTTTACTAGTGCCTTATTTTTTGAGGGCTCTTAATAGACTATTTTTTTTATAACATCTCAACTTCCTCTGGTCGCTAGTAAAGGGCTTGTGCATGTTAATGTGCTATCAGCCAATCAGCAGTCATGACCTCATTTTCTTGTGGCTACAGAGTGATTAATCACATGTATTGGTTCAAAACAACCTGGCTGCAGAACTAAGGTCTCATGAGTAAAATTAGCACATTTTAAATGGCATACTTTCAAGGGCTCCTGCACCAGATGAGCCACTTCTGTTGAGAGGAATCAGAATACAAATGGATAGTTTTCTCCAGGTATTACAAACTTCACTGAATGTAAGGCAACATTATATGCCATTCAAAGACACTGAATGTTTATTCACACTATTTTACAGTTGCTGTACAGTGTTTAACATGTGAGACTATTCTGCTAAATCAGTAAAAAAAAAAAAAAAACATTGCACATATTAGAAAATATAACATTTCCTTCTATTCATGCTGATCTGGCATCAGTTCAATCCTGTTCACATACTCACATTTATTGGAAAGGCAGCTGATCCTTGATCTGCTGTTCTGCTCAGAGTATTTTCTGTCTCCATTTTCTTTTATAAAGTTTTTTGATAGTTGGTTTTGTGTGTTTGTACATTTTCTATATATCTATGTTTAGTCATCTGTTTTAGCGTTTTTATGTTCATGATTTCCAAAATATACTGTTACATATAGAATAAAACATTTTTATTGTTTGTGTGGCTTTTCAAGTTGTTTATGAATGAGACAGCAATGTATATATTTGAAATGAACAAGACTTATTTTATATATACTAATATATTTCTTATATACTATATATATACAATACTAATTTTATAATGCAAAATAAAGACACAAGCCATTAGATAAATGTGTTTAATTCAACGGACATTAAAAAAGTGCCAGGTTTAACAGCTTAAGTAGGTTTTTGGTTGCCATAGTCACTCTTTCTGGTCCTCAGTGATGGACACCACAGTTTTGCCACGAGCATGACCCTGCTCTATTTTCTGAAAGGCTTGAGGCACCTTAGCAAATGAGAACACTTCCTCCACCACGGGACGAACCTACAACGACACAACAGATCACAAAAGTTAAAACTAAAAGTAACTTTAAATAACACCTACAGGTTCACTGAAAATTCATATAAAAGCCTGAAGATAAACTTTTAAAGTGAGCTTGTACTGCATTAGTTGATGCTAGAGTCATAGTGGGTGTAGTAGTTTAGTTGTGGGTGCGATGTGTAGAGGTTAGTATTCTGAGCAGGTAAACAGAAAGTTGCTGGTTTGACCCACACAAAGATTTAAGTTCTTGTCTTCTCCATCATGCCCTTGAGCACGATTTGCTACCGGAACTGTCTCTGTAAAGAGTTTATGGCACCTTGGAAACAATAGTTGACTTTTGATAATGAGTTCAGCAGATCATATGATTCATAATTACAATAAGAATAACCACTAAAAAAAAACAAATAAATAAATTAAACTTCCAACACAGGTAACTTACAAATCAGACCAAAAGTCGGGCCAAGTATTGTTTTGTATAATATATATATATATATATATATATATCATTGTATTATCATGAACTTTAAAGGAGAATATCTTATCTAAACAAATCCTCACTGACCACAATCTTGAAGTTGAGAGTGAAAATATAAACATGCCTGGTTACGAAACAAACAGAACATGCCGGCACAACACCACAATGATTTTAAGGAAATAAAATGAGATACATTTCCTGTCTGTTGCTCTCTGTATCACTATTTAGTTTTACTTAGATGTTAAAAGTTTCTAACTTTAAAAAAATGTTTTTATGCTTTCCAATATAGAAAAAGCTCCCTTAAATGCTGCTTAACATTAAAGTTGAAAGGATATACAGGTGAAACTCGAAAAATTAGAATATCGTGCAAAAGTTCATTTATTTCAATAAAGGCTCGAAATATTTCACTTTGCATGTAATGAGTCTAATATATTAGTTTCACCTTTTAAGTTGAATTACTGAAATAAATGAACTTTTGGACGATTTCTAATTTTTCGAGTTTCACGTGTATTCAAATAATGGTAACTTTAATAATGTTCTTTTTGGTTTCTCTAATATCTGATATTAAATTCATAAATCCAACAGCTCCCTAACTACTCTTTCAATGATGCATCTGTCTTGTGTTTATGTCTAGTACAGTGTTTGCTATATCTGACGTCTGTCGTGAGGGTAGTGGCCCTTCATGTTCCCGCCATGGAACAGTCAAGTTGTCATAACACGAGCGCATAATGATTGTTCTGTCTCATTTCTGTGTTCAAGCAAACAGCAAAAGACTTAAGAGTCAAAGGTAAATGTGCAACTGTGATTACAGATGTATTGCATGCTGGTAAAGTTAAGATGTCATTCTATTTTGACATGGAATTATTTTTCTTCTTGCTAAAAGTTCAAATCTGCAGGGGAAAGTAGATGTTTAGTTGAGTTACAGTTGCTGTTAATCAAGTGCCACAACTGAGAATCACGTATACTAGCTGACAGTTAAGAGAACTGACTGAAGATATGGGAAGGAGAAAGCTTAGGCGGCTGACTTGTTGCCTCGATGCCCTATTAGGCAATGACTTTTCAGGCAGTGTGAAAGTGCACATGAAGATACCTCACAAAACTGATTTCAGATTGAGGAAGCGTAACGGTTTAATGAACTACAGCAAAATAGAGAGCTTTAGAGATAACTAAGCAAATATTGAATTACTGCAATACTGATTTCTCACTAGAAATGACATCAAAAGTGGAAAGTGTTGGTCAAAAACATACATTGACAGAGTAACTGACCACTGCAACTGTCAGATGCCATCTTTATTTTTTTTTAGCTCAACTGTCACGGAATGGAAAGCACAGGATAGTGGGATATCAAAGGCAGCGAAGGATACATCTATGCTGCCTTCAAAAATCAATCGGATGACGGTATTTCCGTCAGTAGACAGGATGTAATATGATCATAGGATTCAAACATGGCTTGTTGCCCTCCTACATGCCTGCGGAGGCAGATTTTTCACACACATCAAATACACTCAGTCTGATGTACCTTTCCGGAATCAACCATTTCGCTGATATCGTCCAGCGTTGGGCCACTTGGAGCAAAGAAACCCCAGCGATAGTGCACTCCTTTCCTGAGGTGCTGAGAAAGAGAGAGAGAATTAGTATTGAATAATCTTCTACCTCCACATTATAACTTGACTAACGAATGAAATTAGTCAGGTAATCAGGTTTAGGTTCCCGACACTTCTACACTTTCATTTCCTTCATTCTGGATTCTCTTCTTTCCCTACGCCACAGGACAAGGTGGTGTAAAGCAATAATGGGTCATAGCAGTGAAAGGAAAGTGTATTTGATAATGAAATGCCATTCACTGAGTCATCAGTGGCTGCATAATAATTTCTAGATCAATATTTGATTAAGCCAGTGGTTCTCAACCCTGTCCTGGCGTACCCCCAACACTACACGTTTTCCTTGTCTCCCTAATCAAACACACCTGATTCAACTCATCAGCTCATTATCACATGGGTTAATGAGCTGATGAGTTGAATCAGGTGTGTTTGATTAGGGAGACAAGGAAAACGTGTAGTGTTGGGGGTATGCCAAGACAGGGTTGAGAACCACTGGATTAAGCAGATTTGTGACATTGATCATGTGACTTTGTAGAGATGTTCTTGCTTCCACTGAAGCACAAGATGGTCGTTGGATCATCTCACATCATGTTGGAGAAAAAGATCATCAGGTTTGACAAACTTGTGGAGTTCACGCAGCTCCAGTCATTAAAGCAAAAGACCAACAACTGTTTGTAATTCCAGAAAAACAGAGAGAGGGGGTGTCGATTTCCTGCTGAAATTCAGTGGTGTGGATTTCCTGAAACATGAACCTCTGCAAGTACAGTGTTCAGACTAACCACAACAAAATCTACACACTGCAGTATACAAAGAATGTTTTGAAAGAACACCATGTTCACCAAGTATGCATTAAATTGTTAAAAACACTATTATGTTACAAAAGCTTTCAATTTCAAATAAATACTGTTCTTTTGTATTTTCTATTCATCAAAAATATTAAAGACAGCATAACTGTTTTCAACATTGATACTAAGAAATGTTTCTTGAGCACCAAATCAGCATATTAGAATGATTTCAGAAGGATCATGTGACCCCTTTTCCACCAAAGCATTTTGAGAGCTGGTTCGGAGGCGGTGCCTACTCGCGAACCAGTTCTTTGTGTTTCGACAGCCAAAGAACCGGTTCTCGGCCAGGAAAATTGGTTCCAAAGCGACACCAACTCTTTGCTGGACTAGAACCGTTCTTTTACGACGTCATGCTTGCGTCGGGCTAAGACGTATGGCGACGTACACAGTGACGTAACGACGTCGTTCGCTGGGCTCTCTAGTCAGTGGAAAAACAAACAGGTTCTGAGAAGGTTCGCAAGTTGAACCAACTTTGAACCAGCACCAGTTCCGAACCAGTTCTTTTTTGGTGGAAACGAGGCATACGAAGACTGGAGTAATGATGCTGAAAATTCAGCCTTGCCATCACAGGAATAAATGACATTTTAAAATATATTAAACTAGAAAACAGTTATTTTAATTTGTAATAATATTTCACAATATTACTGTATTTATGAACACATTAATGCAACCTTGATGAGCACAAGAGATGTCTTTCAAAAAACATTAAACAATCTTATCGACCCCAAACGTTTGAACTGTAGTGTGTGTATACTGTATATAAGAAATATAAGAAAGTCTGGTTTGTAGGGTGAGGGAACTTCACTTACTTTAACCAATTATCTTTTCCTGAAGTCTCTCGATGTTTTTAAGAAACTTAAGTGATTGATACAAGCTGCTAATTCACCCACACATACATCTGTTTGAAAGGTCATGGTTATAAACTGATAAACCATACAAAATAAGAGGAGTTCAAGCCTCTGTGCCAGAAGAACCTAGATTTCTAGATGTTTTTCACCAGCACATGGACAAGCAGTCTCTACCTTCAGCACTTTGCATCCTATGGTGACTCCAGACTGCATCATTCCATCTGCTAGGCCCAGTTGGTCTGTGTTATGCAAGAACGGTGTTACTAGAGTAACATATTTAGCACCATTCCAGGGCTTCAGAAGATTTAGTGCCCATTTCTCAGTTTCACCGCCAATATTGTCTAAAATCAAATCAAACCTGAAAGAGAGAAAGAGACAAAAGAAATAAACTCAACTTGAATCACAAGTTCCATTAAAAAAACAGTCACTGAAAGGTTGCCCAAAAACGAACTTTTCTAAAGTCTGTAGTTGCTTTTCAACTGGTTCAGCAGTGTAGTCTACGACATCATCAGCACCCAGATCTCTCACCAGTCGCTCTGCATTCTGGGAACATGTTACAGTCACATGGGCGCCCCAGGCCTTTATCATCTGTAGAGAAGTAAAAACCAACATCAAAATGTCAATTATACAGTGGTGTTACACACAGATGCTTAGGTGTTTTATTACTTATTAACTAATTTGTAATTGTTTCCAAAATGTTTGTAATATTATGCAAAATGCTAAAAGAAATCTTACATGCAAAGAATTATCATCATCACCTGTATAGCAAAGGTTCCCACTCCTCCTGATCCTCCCAGGATCAGAACGCTGTATGAGGAAAGGATAGATCCATTTCAGCCAGTCTTAAACAACTGCACATCTATTATGATTCATCTAAGCCTCTAACATAGGTATGAATTATTTGAAATCACCGTTGTTGTGTTCAAGTGTTGCTGAGATCACAGGGTCAAAAGCAAAGCAGAACTTTCAGCATATAAAGTACAGTTGTCTTTAAATAAGAATGATCTGCTAAATAATGTAGCAAATTTGTAAATAAATACATGCTTCAATTTGGTAATTAATGTAATTTTGTAATTTTTTTGGAGATGCCTAATCTAAGCAGAAAGGAACAACAAGTATTTTTAGTTTAAAGGAGACATGAGGGGGTTTTTTTCACCATAAATCATCTTTTCACAACAAGGAAATATCAAAAATATGATTCTATGTGAGATGAGCCTATTAAGTGGACGAAACGAAGACCTACTCCCACTCGCCTCAACAGGAGCAACGGACAATGTGCTACAATCACTGAAAGATGAACCTGAACAAACAAGTACTTGCCGTTTCTTAGCACAGTTGTCTTTGTTTAGGCCACCGGTGTTGACGATGGCAGACCAGGCCGTTGCAGCCACATACGGGATGGATGCTGCTTCAACATGCCTGAGTGATTTGGGCTTATGGGACACCTAAATCACAGAGATGAACAATGAACTTCTCTACGTAGGAGTAATGTAATTATCTAAAGGACAACAATTGTCATGTGACGTGTCAAAACTGCTGTACTGTTCTCTACATGTGAATGAATGCTTTTATCCGTTTATACAACAAAACATGAAATTAAATATTACCTCATTGGCACTAAGCACTACAAACTCTGCCAGGCTGCCCTGCTTCCATGGAGGGACAGCGGCCCACACCTAACAGAGAAAAACAGACTTTAGGGTAATTATTGGACATTGTATATATATATATATGCACAGCACAGTTATAATATTATATAGAATATTAACTGAATAGAGCACCTGATCTCCTGGTTTAAAGTAGTTTACATCCAGGCCACATTCCATGATCTCTCCAGATACATCCCGCCCCAGGATTAGAGGAAACTCACTGCCTGCCTGGTTTATGTTCAGTGGATCACGTTTCATGGCCATAGTAGCTGCTCCATAACCACCTATGGGAAACATAAAAGACTTTATTAAGTACACTATAAACTCTTACCAGAAAATATTTTTATTTATTTATTAAACATTTTAAAATAAAAAAAACTCATCTTATTGTTCTGAAAATTTAAATCTGTGCAACTAAATTTTTACCATTTCTGAAGTATCTACAAGTACCATGCAAAGTCTGCAAACCTCTTCAAAAAGCTTTTTGCTCTGCAGATGCTAGTGTTTCTGATGGTTGCGGTCTTTTGACTAAAATGCTAAAGTTGAAAAATTATTGTGGTTTAATAATAATAATTCAATTGAATATATTTAGCTTTTTTGGAAAACAAACTGCTACAGGATGATACATGTCCTGATCACTGTGTTGAGATTTACTTTGAAATACTTTAAAGGTTGGGTAGGTCGTTTTTGGTCTAAAAAACTTTTTCCCAAATTTGTTTAAACTTTCTATATATATCAATGCATAATTAAAATGTAAGTACTCTGATAAAAAGAGTATAAAAATCGAGTGACTCTAGACCGTTTAATCTGCACTAAACACAGCTCATTATTTCCTTCCGGGACGAAACAAAGGATTGGCTTAGGCGACTGTCACTCTCTCGCAACCATGGCAACACCCCCGCTGCTACATGCGCTGCCCACATGCGCGCACTCGTTTGACTCGAGGAGGGTAAGAGACTAGTAAGAGACACAATTACATGCAAAACACGGCGTATATGTTATGAATCTTACACAAAATTCACCTTCATCACAGTGTAACTGATTGTAATGGGAAAACGTGTATCAATGCAACCTGTTTTTAGCTTTGCTTTATGTTACTAGCTCGTTAACGAATCAAACTCAATATATTTTAAACTTTAACAGTATCGATATGCTAGCTTGATAGTGAGTATTAACAGCCATGTTAGTTGTTTATATTCATAATGATAAAGTTAGGTATTTTATTACATGTGAGTCTGACATGATGTCACTACATGCACTGCTCCTCTCCGCTCGGCGCTAGTAAGCGCGTCCTCCAGCTGTGAGCTGTCGGCATCGCACGTTCATGTGTTTTGGGGGCGTGGTTTTGGAAGGAGCCCAGAATGGAGGGGGTGGAAGTGAATGGAGATAAGTAGCTGTGTTTATTACAGCCCTGAGAGGACTACAGACACTCGATTTTTATACTCTCTTTTCCAGAGTACTTACATTTTAATTATGCATTGATATATATAGAAAGTTTAAAAAAATTTGGCAAAAAGTTTTTAAAAAAAATTCTACCTACAATACCTTTAACCAGTTATTGTAAATTAAACCTAAATATTTTAGAAAACGTTGTGTTATTTAAAATTAAGCTGAAATAAAATCAAATATAAAGACTAGATGAAAACATTTTTAGAAATGTTGCCTTGACAACTAGCTAAAATATTTGTTTTCAGTTGAAGTACTAACATTACTAAAACTTTTTTTAATTACTATATAAATATATACATGTATATATATATATATAATTATATATATATATATATATAATCATTTAAAATATCAAAAAACACATAAAATCCTAATTCTAACTCACTGTAACATGGTGATATTTAGCACGGTGATATCAAGCACCGCTAATGACAGCTCATAATGACTGAGCAATTCACAATTATGATATTGCATGCTACTGTACAGTTCAAAGTCAAATATTTTCTTCATGAAATATGGTTGTCCCTCACTCACTTATGTCATATCTGAAAGTGACAAACTTTTCTGAACCATGTAAGATGCCTACAATCATTCTACACAATATAAATGACACATGCTATAAACACAATGATATCAGTCAGTGATGTGATCGTCACATACCCCTCATACTGATGTCGATGGGGTTTATACCCGCAGCGTGCACCTTCACGATCACTTCATTGGGATAGTGGATGATCGGAAGCGCCGCGTTCTTAGTGAAACGCAACACCTCGTTTTTCCCATATTTGTCGATGACCCATGCAGGCATCACAGTCCTGCGGGAGGCTGAGCAACTGAAGCTCCTATACTGACCCCTCAGCGAGCACACCAACCACCGTCTACACATGATGACCATGATTGATCAATCATAAAAAATATTCCAGGGCTCTCCTCCCGAGGATATTTCTTACAGTCTCATAAGTCCTTCATCGATTAGAAATAAAACCTATTACTGCTTGGTTACACGCTCACAAGTTCAGCGAAAGCGCGTCTCTTGTCCTGCAAAGTCAAAACAATCCGGTGAACTTTCACACGACGCACTGAACCAATCACAAGCCACATTGCTGTTCGATTGACCAATCAGAGAGCAGATGTGATGGTACGTAAGCGAGGTCAACAGAAAGTGTCATGTCAGCCTCCTGTGCGGCGTTTCGTCCGGCAACAGCGATGCTCGGCCTGTCCATTAGAGAGGTCTGTGCTTACTTTAACCTTAAATTAATTTCATATCGCTTATTTGAACCAAGAATTGAACTTTATAAGGATTCAAAGCGCTGGTTTTCTTGGCACTGTGTTACTTAATGTTTCAACTCAGAACCCTTCTAAATTCAGCCTATAAAACATTCTGACATAGCTGGTAGACCTTCTAGGACCAGTAAAGCAGTAGCTATAGGCAGTTTTACAGCAGGGTGTAATGAGATTTTAACTTAATATCCAGATACATGCATTTATATAATTAACAGTTACCTACTAAAATAGAAAGCCACATTTTCTGCCTACTACAGGTGTCCCAGGCACTGAGGGATGGAAGGGTGTCTGCCACCGAGCTCTGCAAACAGTGCATCAACCAAATACAAAGGACACGTTACCTGAATGCTTATATCACCATTACAGAGGAGACGGCCATGGAACAAGCACAGAGAGCAGACAACAGGCTCAGCACAGGTATGTATGTGTCACATAAAATGTATATTTAATTAATGGCTGAATAATAATTTCCATGTGCTCTATGTTTTTTCTTGTAAGG